TGAGAAAGTTAGGCGGGACAACAAGACCCAGGAGGCATTCTGGGAAGAAGAAAGAAGAAAGATGGAGTTTGCCTGAGAAAGGGGCAGACACGTGCTTTTCCCATAATGGACTGGTTTTCATCTAGCATCAGCCTTTGAAGACCCAAGACACGTGAGATGGATGATTTATGCTTTTTGTTAGTTAGCATAGTTTCATTTCTTTATTTTTTTAGCTGGAGTGGGGGAGTGATGTGTTCCGTTGGTCTTGAATGAAAATGTACCTACTGACTTAATTTACTATCAACTGAAACCTTTTCTAAAGTAATTCTTTTTAATAAAAAAACAGTAATGATTGATTTCTATGTAGAAGCTTTGTTTCTTGAACAGACCAGCTGAATGTCTAATTGGCCACGTGGGTTTGCTACCAAACTTTCAGAGCCAAATCATTCTGAGTATATCTCATGGTTATGTCTGTGTTGCTTTCTTAATAAGGAGATTGGCCTCTGAGGAAGAAAATTTAGACAGAACTTGGCTGAGTTCAATTGGCTCTGCTCAGCAGTTAGAAGTTTGTCTGGTTTTCTTACTCGTCCCGATTTCCTGCACCCCCATAAATCTCTTTGGAGATACGGGGCTGTTTACAAGTTGTCCCCATCTCTAATTATAACTAATAAGAGTATATCATAACTATACAGCTAGCTCCTTGAGACAATGTCATTGTAAAAACAGTAACCATCCAGCCCTTCAGGGATTTCTTTACTAACTCTTTTAAACATTTAAGTGAACTATTTTAACAGTGTCTAATTCCACAAATCTTGCATTCCCATTTCATTGGTTCCAAACATACTCTTGCCGAAAACTGGAAACTCGTCACATTTTCATCAAAATTTTCTCTGTGCTAAATTGAAATAATTCAAGATGTATTTGCAAAAACTGCAAACTGGTATTAGAAATTGAACCTGTGTACTTCTTTAAAAAATAGAGTTGAGCTCTGGAGAGAGCCTAACAAGTCCCTGGGAATCAGCATTGTTGGTGGACGAGGAATGGGAAGCCGTCTGAGCAGTGGTGAAGTCATGCGAGGAATATTTATCAAACACATTCTTGATGACAGTCCTGCCGGCAAAAATGGAACCTTGAAAACAGGAGATAGAATAGTGGAGGTATTCTGTTGCTTATTACTTACATACATGGGCTTAAACTGTACTGGATGTTTGAGGAGCTTAGTTTTCAGAAGTAGAATACATGGTATCAAAACAATACATATCAAGTCTGGTGGTAGTGTTGTATAGTGTTGTGGTATACGATTTGGATCCTTTACGTTCCCTTGTTTCTACTTTGCAGAATTCACAAACTGAAATATTTGACTCTCAGTTTCTTCTCTCCAGACTTTACACTGTATGTTTTCATTTTTAGGCAGTCTATAAAATCCAAGGAAAGGCACTTCTTCCAATGGAAACTCTATTGTTAATATTGCAACTAACATATAGCATGCTTTATCTCTGCTTCAAGCTTTTTGCAGTAGCCAAAATACAAATAACTTTCTAATACTAACACTGGGATCATATTTTCTTTTCTGCCACCAGAACAAACTTGTTGTTTTCATCCTATATAACTGCAACTGAAGGCTTCCTAGCAGGAAATGCTGTTAGCTTTCCAATGTGGAACCTTCAAGGGAATGTTTATGTCATTGTTTCACTTTTCCCCATTTAAATAAAAAGGCAACGTTGTATTTAATGTTACAAATGCTCCTATTTATCTGGTTCTCTACAACGAAGTGTGTGTGTGTGTGTGTGTGTGTGTACATATACATATACACAAACACATATATTCATACACACACATGTACACACACACATTCCAATGAAGTGTGTAAAAACACATCATTCATTTGGAAAGATGAATCATTTTTGAATTATCTGTGGTTTTTTTTAAAATTTGGCTGCTCATTACAAAACCTTTTTAAAAAGAGAACAGGTTGTATGTACAGCACTACTGTATATAGATCAATTAGTCTGATGTGGACCAATAATATTTTGAATATATATAAAATGCTTGGATTTTTCAGATTAATTTGTCTACAGTTACCACAGTTCCTTGTAGCAATCCTTTCTTTTGCATTTGAATTTTTAAAACCCCAAGTTTTTCTCTCAAATATGAGATTTGCAACTTCCCTTTATTTCTTACAAAGTACATTGAAACAGGGTTCTTCTCCATTTTTAACAACCAAATCCAAAAGCCCTAGCTGTTTCCAGCATAGAGAATACTATGTTGACCTTACCTGTCATATAGGTGTCAAAAATGAGAAACGTCATGCGCACCTAAAAACAGTGATAATTAACCATCACAAATTTGTTTGAATAGAAGCCCTGAGCCTGGGTGGCTTGTTTCTTCAATACTGATTTTTTAAAAACCTAAAGCTCTTTCTACCTTAAATAGAAGGAAATTCAAAAATTTTGGTAGATTCTTGCCAAAAATGAACTGAGATAAAATTTTCATCCATCCCTAAAGGTCAATAATGCTGTTGTTGCATTGTAAATAGAGGCAATGAGACTGACAGGTAGTAGTCTGCCCAAGGCTGGGATAAGAAGCATATGGCTCTCCAGATGTTCTCTGACTGTGATGGCTGTCATCCCTTATGGCTGGCTATTCCTGCCAGGGCTGACAGAAGTTGCAGTGGACAAGATTAAGTGAGGTCTGAACTACAGCCGTTTTTTCACATCTCAGTATATAGCAACATTGGAGAACATAAGAAGAGCCCTGCTGGATTAGGCCAAGGGCCCACTTATTCTAGCTCCCTGTATCTCACAGTGGCCCCACCAGATGCCTCATGATGTGTTTCTTCATTCAGCCAGTTAGCTAGCAAGCCTTAATTTACAATTTATTCATTAATTTCAAATGTATCTATTGAAATTAAATGCTCACATCATCCAAAGAGCGCATCATAGTTGCTTTAGGTGTGCACTTTCCATATTTGGCATTAACTAGTGATTGTATCCAGACTTGGTTGCGATGATAGTTAATAATGTAGAGCCATTGAACTTTGTGGGGCTGAAATTGGGCACCATCAAGTTAAATTCCACCAATATTGGTGGGTTTGCTTTCAAGCAGGACTAAGTCCAAAGCTAACGTTACGTCTATTATTACTTTCCATTTGTAAAACAATTGCAGCTAATTAACAACTATAATTTTATTTATTTATTATCTATTTAAAATATTTTACCTCGCCTTTCTCCTTGTTAGATTATTGCCACATAATTTAAAGGCCACGATATTTGCTGAAAATGTCACCCTGTTTGTCGTCTTGATGTATGAAAAAGACTGATCAAACATTTGTCTTCAGTAGTGAAAGCTTTCATTGGGAGAGCTGAATTCACTAAACCATTTTTGTTTCTGTCTTTTCACTGCGAAACGGTGAATTCTAGTAAAAATTCTAGAACTTACTGAATTATTACTCTTTTAAAACTGAATGTACCATAGTTTAAAACTTAGGCCTTACGATTTCAGGTGGATGGAATTAACCTCAGAGATGCAAGCCATGAACAAGCTGTGGAAGTCATACGAAGAGCAGGCAACCCTGTAGTCTTTATGGTACAAAGCATTATACACAGACCAAGGGTAAGCATATGAACTTTTTTTAAAAAGATATAAAACCTTTTTTGAAGATATAAAGATCCAGATTATCTGGTGAGAAATTCAGTAGATGTCCACAATGGTGTTAATTTGAGAAGGAAGAGAATCTTCACCCCACAGATCCCATACTGAGAAGCCTGGGATAGCAATTACTTGCTTGAGCTTGAAATAGCTTAGATTCCTATTTTTAAATGGATTTGCAGGTCAGTTCAGGCTTGTGATACAAAGCAAATGATGGCAGCCAACTGCATAGTCATTTTATTCATGCAGAAATTTGATAAAATATTTATGTTTCTGTAGACCCAGTGAGAAGGGCTTTTAGGGTTCTTGCCTGCTGGCTGAGGGATTCTGGTAGTTGTAACTGAAATTAGTAACTTTCCAACCTTTGCCTGGGGTATTAGTGCCACACAACACCTGTGCATGAGGCAACTTGACTTTATGGCCATCAAACACAATAACTAGAAGGAATTTTAGATTGCACAAGGACTGCACAATCTGCACTGGGTAATATATGACACACTACCCAGCACCCCAGTATACTTTTTGTTCTGGAACTATTGGTTTTGCTGTGAAGCACAAATTAGAAATATCACAAGCTTACTGGCACCATACATGTACACAGAAGAATGTGTTTTGCTTTGGACTTTCAGCTATTTGCAAAATAGTTTTAATATAGCTGCTTTCATCACCCGAAACTAGACTTCCTCCTTGTAGATCTGCTATAAGCTGCTTGTTTAATTTACTAGTTGTTTCATAACTTTTGTTTCCCAGCCAGAATCTCTTTATAGCTCTTTATCGTCCTCTGCTCCCAGTGGGCAGAAACCTAATAATCCATTTTATCATCAGTCATCCCAGGTAAAGTTGCATGGAGTTGCTTTGCTGAATGTTGGTAATTTGTATGTGGGATATGAACCCGGCTTACACATTTGCTGTGGCATGGGCAAATTGTATTCGCTTGGTGAATATTTAAGATAGAAATGCAGTACCGTTAGTTTGTACTTTTCACTGGAAGCCTGCTGCTGTTAGAACAGGATTCGTTTAAGGTGTTTTCCACTGTTTAGCCATAGGCAGTCATTCAGAGAGCTAACTATGTTATTTATGTATTGAGAATGACTTTTTAATATTGTTTTATGAAGCAAAAAATAAAAAAAGGAGCCAGCAACTAGCTAGCAACTTTCACCACAGTTCATTGGGGGTAGGGGAGTACTCTTCTCTTTCTCATGCAAGTTTCTGAATGACTTTTAATCAGGATTATTAAAGAACAGTTTTGTATTCTGTTGTGCATGTCTTCTGCAATTATTTGCAAAGGGTGAGCAGCATAATGACAAGTATCTTCAGACTTCACTTACCATACATACAAGTTACAATCTGCTAATTTTCTGGTAGCTGCCATAGATGTGATGAAATGCTTGTTCATTCTGATCTTCTTCATGCTTGGTTGGAAATAAGTCACATTTTGTTCAAAAAGAAAGCCTACTTCTAAGTGGTTGGTTATGAGCTAAGGGGCGGTATTCTGTTCAATATTTATGCATGAATGGGGCTGCAACTGCAGAAGCTCCTGTGGCAGTTTGGGGTGATCTGTCAAGTCATCCAAAGCCAGGTACGTGAGTGGCACCTCATTAAAACGTTGTAGCTTCCGCGGCTGGATTTCTGCATGTGAGAATATTGAACAGGATACTGGATAAAAAGTGTCCCTAGGACGTTTCCATTTTCATTTGCTTCTCTTTACTGTCTAGTTGTGCATTTCTTCCCTCTCCCATCTTGTATGGGATTTCCTTATCAGCATCTGACCTAATCATGATGCAAGCTTGCATCTATTATACCAGTGAAATCATGGTGAGATTAGATCACAGTTTATAAATTATGATAGCAGACTGGAGGTAATTGTGATCAGCACAAAATGGTGTAAATACAAGACTGCACCATGATCAGGTCAGAAAATGAAGAGGATTGCGAGGACCTTATGAACCTTGAGGACCTGAGTATTTTTCCAGAGATAAAAACATCAGGCACCTACATTCAGCCTTTGTTTATATTAATATCAGGGCAAATATGTGAGATCATGGCAAGTGTTTGTGGTAGCACTAAATGCTGAATGTGCTTACCTTTGTAATTTGGACTAGCATTGCTCGTAAAGGGATATTTGAAAGGATCTGTGTGAAGTGCCTACCTTTTGAAATGATGAAAGTCACAAAGAGGCTTATGAATAAAGGGTGATTCATACATGCATGCACATCGATGGATACCCTATCACTCAGTGATTCTTTGCTTGAGTTTGTTAACTGTTTCCATTAAAATGAATTGTGTTTGTGATATTGTGAAATTATATACAAAGTGTGCTGTTGTGTTTCTGCCATGGCCACCATTTCACACATACAAGTCATCATTTGAAGTTTGCCAAATCACGACTATGCATGTGTGAATGTACCCATTTATATCTACCTTTCGGTTAGCAAGTCCCTCTCTGTTTTTCTTGTAGAACCTCCCTATGCCTTACCTGCAACACAAACCTTTCAGTAAGCCTCCTGCCTTCAGCAGCACTAACCCTTTTGTTGATCCTCTGCAACCCAGCACTAACAAGGTTGGATGGTACCTGTGTGTGTTTGTGATGGACCCAGTGACTATTTATGTTTCTGTATCTTTGTTTTCCCCACTCCCTCTTTCAACATAGATTACCAAATATCTATAAATCAGTGTATTCTTGGAAATAAATATTCTCTGTATCAGAGATATGCCCAAATTTCAAATCCTGCCCAGTGTATCATTAGGAGAAACAAACGGATTCTTCCCACAATGCCCAAACATCTGCATTTCAGTTAGACAACAACATGGTAGCAGTGGGGGCTTGGTGTATCAAGCTATACATATCAAAGAATAAATGGAGAATATGGAACACAAATGATAGACTAAATGATCTTATGCCCAAGTAGAAAATATGATTTCACTGTAACTGAACTATGGAGATACAAGCATACCTCCTTTGTGTCAACAGTCGCTAGATTACACAGTCTCATGGCTCCATCAGTATTGTTCATAATCAGTGCTAATGGAATGGATAACACCAAAAATGAGTACTGTTAGATATCCTCACTGCTACCCACTGCTGCATGTGAAGATTTATGGATTCAGGGCATAGACTTTGGTTGCAGATTGCACTACGGATGTTCTTTGGCCAGAACCCTAGGTCCACCAAGCAGTTGCCCATTGATATGTTGCCTGTTTGTTAACAGTGCCATGAAAATGGGAAAAAATTGTAGCTTGGTAGCAGAGCAAATGTTTTTCAAGCAGGTGTTCCCAAGTTCAATACCTCACACCTCCTCATTGGGCTATAAAAGATTCCCATGTATATATTTAGAGTGACAGTGACAGTTAGCAAATAGACAACAGAGAAGGACCAGTTGTTTTGCCACAGTATAAAGGCAGTTTCTGCATTCCTAAAATAGAGCATGTTTGCATGCAGTTATTATGTCTGTACATAGTAACAGATACAAGGAATGGAAATAAAATTACTGATTTGTCAAATTAGAAGGTCACTTTTTTAAAGAAACTGGGAGTAGCACAAGGAAATAATATGCTCAGGTTCTTCAAGTAAACACAAGGCACATCCAAAATCTGTAAAAAAAAAAGTGCATTTTGTTTGTTCTCAGATTGTGCAGTTGTTTTGTTCCTAAAAAGTGGGTATGTGCTCTTTGTCCATCTGTGGACCAATTCCCTTGCAATCCCCTGTGGGCTCCACTAGCACCTTTACCATGTAATCAAAATTTGGCAACAAATCACACCATTGAATTTGGGTGCCAAGTTGATGTAGAGCAGTGGTTCTTAACCTTTGTTACTCAGATGTTTTTGAACTGCAACTCCCAGAAACCCCAGGCAGCACAGTTGGTGGTGAAGGCTTCTGGGAGTTGCAGTCCAAAACTCCTGAGTAACCCAAGGTTAAGAACCAGTGATGTAGAGCATTAAAGCATGCAGGAGTTTTTGGTGGTGGTAGTTTGCAATCAGATCTCTATAGCAGTCTAGATTAAATCCTTTAAAAGTAGGAGTTCCAATTTGTTATTGTATTTCAGTAGCACAGTTTCATGGGGGGAGGGGTGAAGGATGCAGAAGCATGCTATTGGGGTATATGTGTCAAATAGGCAGGATGTTATCCACCCCTGCTGTAAAGCATTTGCAGACAAATTCCAGACAGCTAATGAGTAACCATACTAGATTCTATTATGGCAAAGCCAATTTCCTTTATATAAGAATTTTTATGAAATCCATTCCCTGTATATCTTATTTCTGTACAGACTCCAAGGAGCACACAGTTAGGGATTCTATAACAAACACTCTACTATTTTCTATTATCGTAGGACATGCAACATCCAATTAGATTTACCTCCAGTTGTTCCCCATGTAACCCTTTTGCTCCTGCACCATTTAAGGTTTGTCTTAGTTTGTAGTTTTTATCCTAGTAACTGTGTACATTGTACATTTTGCACACTCTGTCTGTCATACTGAAATATGGCCCTGTGATCATTTCAGAAGGGTCACCTATTCCTTCCAAATGTACCTGTTTCTGTCAAAGCACTTGTCTCTGTGTGGTGTTTGTGTGTGTGTGTGTGTGTGTGTGTGTGTGTGTGTGTGTGTACTTGCTATCGTCCAAACTGTTTGTTTCATATCTACAGAGTGCCAGTTGAAATAATTCAGGAATTGTCATGTTTTGTATTTGTGGTTGACAAGTGATACTCATCTTCTGTCGGAGAAGAGGGACTTGTGTCTGCACTAGGACCATCACATTCAAATCACCAAACTCAGTGATATTGTTAATATTATCTTATTAAAATATTTTCCCAAGTTATCTTACTGGGTGTGGGAATATGCTATACCTCTGTATACCAAAGGCACATAAAAGTGGCAGAGTACTTTTTCATCAGGACATTGTCCTCAGCAAAGTAAAAATTAGATGAGATGACATGCACTTGACATTCCATCCCATGTTGATTCGTTAGATGGATGATTTATTATTTTATTTCTATCCTACGTTTTCTCCTTTACCAGACCCAAGGTACCTTACAATATAAAAATACTGTAAATTAAAACAAATAGATTATCACATGAAAAACAAGCACTGAATATTTTAAAATGAGGAGGGTTTTTTTAACTTGATACAAAAGAAGTACAACATTCGCAATTTAAAAGCCCCTTCCTCATGAGTCATTCAGTGGCCAAATATCTGTTTAAGTAAGTACAATTTTATCCTTACCAAATTAAAATGGGATCTCTCCGTGTAGAAGATTCCTGTTCCACTAACATAGCAGTATGGGATCCCACACCTGTGTATTTTAAAGTTAGAGTGATGAATACTCAGTGTGCACTTCCATCTCAAGTGGTGCAAATAATGTGCTTAACATAGTGGATTGCAGACTGTTCTTAAAAAGTAACACAAGAAATTAGTTCTACTTGTCCTGTTGCACCCTGCTGCACAATAACTGAAAGTGGATGGTATTTTATCTATTAAATGAATGGTAGATATACAAAGAAAGACAGACAGACCGACGTAATAAGTCTGATCCAGTGTTTTTTTCATAAACAGAAAGGCTCTTTCCCTTCATGGAGGCTCCCACTGGAGGAAACACAGGAAGCTCTTTTTATGTTGTTGTTGGCCAACTACTATTCCCCTTTTAACCTCTCTCTACCACTTCCCATCTTGGTTTAGAGGGTTCCTTGGCTTTCCTGAGTAGGTTTTAAGAAAATCAGCAACTTATCTCCACCCCTCTTATCCTGCAACTTGGCTTACCACCCGTAAGTGCAATTTTGTTCACAGGATTTCCTTTCCAGTGTACTTATTATCTCAAGCACTTGTCTGTTTTATCAAAGGCCAAAACTTTGTTGTGTGGCAGTGGCACTGCAGTGGGAAGGACATTGCTGTCAGTGGCAGAATGCTGCTACTTTAAGGAGTCCCTGCTTCAATTTTGAACTGTGATCAACTTTTGTCTCATTGCATGTGAGTTGCATGGGATCTTAAGTCAGAGCAGGGACTCTTTAATTAGTGGCAATTGGCCAGCTATGTCATTCCTAGTATGCCAGTGTACCTAATCAACAAGTTACTGGCCAAATATGTTTTTTTTTAATGTGAATCGTCCCCAGTGTGCTCTCATAATTCACTTTTTAAAAACAATCTATTTTGGAAATGGATCCTCATGTCTATGGAAGCCCTTGGTACATTGTCAGTATGCACATAAATCTTCACTGAATTTGGACTGAAGTCTCTGTCGTGCTTTGCTTAAATTGCATTTTAGGCCTTTCTTTGGCTGTTTTTTTCCATCTATGATTGCCTTGTTGTTCTTTTGTTGCTCAGTATTTTAACTTCAGAGTGCTAGTCTTTTCTTTTTCATCATTTCATGCATTTTGTTTTCCCAGCACCGGTCTGTGTGTTCTCAGGCACTGTGTTTTTCTTATTTTCCACAGGCATCCAGCCAGTCAGATTCTGAGCCGGAAAAGACTTTATCTTGTAACTTGCCTCAGCCACCTCCTTCGGTATCTCCAGGAATGAGCAGTGAAGTTGTGCAGCAGTCCTTTAACAAACACCTGGAAGATTTGGACAAGGAAGATGAGTTTGGGTACAGCTGGAGTAAGTTTGACGTCTGAGGCAGTCTTTCGGGGCGGGTATCATGCAGACTTGTTACATCTGCATGAGTTAAGTGATATCTTTTGCTGGGTGATTTTTTTCTTGTTTAATCAGATCACATTATGCAAATCAATATCATTTTTGTTGTGCACTTCTTTCCATGTGAATTCAGGTTTTAGGCAGAATCTTTTAAATCCATGCTGCTGTAATGTCTGCCATTTCACTTACAGCTATAAGAGATGATTCCCTTGCTGTTAGGAAACATTTTCTTCTTGCACCAATATGCAGGAATCAGCTGACTGGATAGCATTGTGGAGAGAGCCAGGGGTCAGGAGTTTGATTTCCCATTGTGTCTTTTGGGAGAAGCGACAGTCTATGTGGGCCTGAGCAAGCTACACAGTCCCAGGGTGCTCACAGAAGAAGGAACTGTTTAGCCATTTCTGAGTATGCCATACCTAGAAAACTATGGAAGGGATGCAATAAGTCACAACTGACCTGATGATGCAATTCAATTTACTGAATTAAGCAATATGCAAGATTTTTCCCCCTGTTATTTCAAGTAGAGGAGCAACAATCCTAATTAAAAAAACAAGCGAAACAAGAGGCATTTTTTTTTCAAGTTGCAGAGAATTTTGTTGGAAAAGAAAACTAGATCTCACTTGATTTTTTTCAGCATGGTTGAAATTACAGGTTTATGATCATGCATAATTATTGCTTTTCAAACCTCTGTTCCTTTAAAGTTTTTAGAGCTAAATCCTATCTATACTATGCATGAAATTTCCTCTCTTTATGGGTAGAAACGATACGTCACCGTTATGGGAATCTGTCAGGAGATCTGCATATGATAGAGCTGGAGAAAGGGAAAGCTGGGTTAGGACTCAGCCTGGCTGGGAACAAAGACCGATCCAAGATGAGCGTTTTTGTTGTGGGAATTGATCCAAATGGAGCAGCTGGAAAAGACGGCAGGCTGCAGATTGCAGACGAGTTACTAGAAGTAAGTGCACAGTAATTATACTTAAAATGAAACATGCTGACTCTAAGAATAGGAAAATATTTGATCATTGGTGTAAAATGCAGATTTTAATTAATAGCATGTTACTTTTTTCAGTTTATCCCTTCTTTATCAGTGTATTGGTTTTCCTAATATGAATTTTATATTTGGGGCCAGGATTGATTTTCAGTTACACTGATATTGGGGAGGAAATGCTGTAAAAGAAGGTGGAAGAAACTACCTTTGATACCATGTAGAGGTAAAAGGCAGTTAAGATATCATGGGAATGAATATACCATCTTTACCTTTGATCCAGCACTTATTTATCTGGAAGCAAGTACACTAACCACAGTGGGACTGAGTAGAAACCTGTATGGTTATTTTGTTATTGTATTTCCATGAAACCTAAAACTTATCCCTTTGGACTCTGTGTTACTGTAATCTAGTGCCTGATGCCATCTAATTCTGTATATTGTGATCTCCAAAGACATTATCAGAATGAATGCTGTCAAATTGGCCAGGTACTTCTCAGATTTCATTGATTTAGTACTAGATGAAGGCAGATATTTGGCTCACTTACTGGATCTTTCTTTGGCTGGAGAAAAGATTGATACTTTTGGGTTATTCAGTATTCAGCACTCATAATGGTCAAAATCCTGTGGCTTAGGATAGTAAATGTGCACTAAAGTAGGCCCATTGAATCATTGGGGATTTGATGAATCACCTCCCTTGTAAGTTCCATTGATTAAAATGGACCTACTCTAACTGGGACTTACTTCAGCATAGTAAGACACAAATTGAGTAGGTCCATTTGAATCAGTGGAACTTACAGAGTAGGTGACTCACCAAATTCCCATTGATTTAATGGGCCTACTCTAGTGTGCTTTACTACATTAAAGCAACAGGATTTTGGCTAATATATACTATAGAAATTGCCAGATGCAACAGTATAAGAACATAATATTAGAGCAGTGGTTCCCAACCTTGGGTTACCCAGATGTTCTTAGACTGCAATTCTCAGAAGCCTTCACCACTAGCTGTTTTGGTTGGGGTTTCTGGGAGTGCAGTCCAAGAACAACTGGGTTAACCAACATTGGGAACTACTGTATTACAGTAAACAGAAAGAGATATGTATAAGAATAAAAAGAGCTACAGTCCTGTTGTTACAACCACACATGCAACGTTAACAAGTGGTTTGAACCATTTCGTGAGATGTCATTGCATGAGCAGCCGTGCGCTAGTCACACGACCAATAACATAACGGACATCTCGAGAAGGGGTGCAACCCATTCATATGCACATATATTTTCAGCATTGTCTTGTCCATGGTCATAACTAGCTTGACCATTCTCCCATTTTGTTCCCTAAGAAGTCAGGTAGATTGCTCCAATAGATCACAAACAGGACATGAAATCATCCCTTGCTATTTGTTTGCCACAAATATTTGATGTTGGAAAATGTAATGATTATGGATATTTCATTTAATTATCTTGGCTACTGCTGATATAGTATCCCTGAGTCTGTTAAATCCTTTTTTATGTCCACTAAGCTAGTGTTTGTTGTACATCTAGAGTGAGTACACAAATTATTTATGTAAATGTATGCTTTATTTATTTATTGAAATATTTATTCTGACAAAAAAGGCTCTCCCTTTCACAAGATAGATCATGGCAGTAATTAGAACACAGTAATCAAACAGCAAACTAATGATCAAAAGAACACCACCAGACCAAGGAAAATACAGAAATAAATTGAAGATATAAGGAAACAGCATCTACCAGTTTGTACATCAGAAGCACAACAGAATAATACTGTTTAACTGTACACTGGAACATGAAGCAGATTGCAAAGACAGTCTGTGCTCCATTACTGGGAAGTACCGATCCCATGTATATTTCAGATATACATGGGTATTGGTTGGACATGGAACGGGACATCCAAAGATGACCTCTGTGGAGAGGAGGATTATTTGGAAGAATATCTGCCTGATATTCTTTTTGTCCCTAATCTCACCAGAAGCTGTGCTTTCACCTGCAGCATCAACCACAGTGAATTTTCTACACCAATTTTGCCATTCCCCATCTTTTGCTAAAACAAGGTACATATTTTACATGTACATATTTTAGAGGAGAATGATGCCTTCAAGCAGTGTCAAGGGATGTAGTTCTCCTCTAAAATAAGGTGTGTGTCTCTACATACTTTAATTTAATGCCAAGATATAACTTTTTTAAAAAATGCTGAGCAGTAGTTCCAGAAGATATAAAAATAGCTGGTGGCCATGTTACCGCTCTGATTTAAAGCTTCCAACACTTTGAACTGGTTTCAGAAACAGTCAGAATTTTACAGAGGTTTAATAAACACAGTTAAATATTCCAAGTATTGGGCCTCAGTCAGCACATACAGGCTGGAGCATTTTATACCGGTGGAGCTCCCAGACACTTAATCAGGTCACCCTTCATAAGGAAAACTTACACATATAAGAATCATAACTGAGCAGAAGCATTCCGGACAGGACCTGCCATGTGACCATCCCGGGCCAATACAAGAAACAAGAGCATTCCCAAAGTGCAAGCATGAAACTTCAAATGGAATGCAGCCCATCCAAAATATATTGTATACCTTCAAAGGCCTGGTCCTTTTTATTTCTCAAACAGAGATAACTACAGCTAAGCCTGAAACTGTATAGTGCTGTAATCATGATGGGGGACTGGAGCACACACAAAAGTCCCACTGCCTTTTCCCCATGCAGAAGTAATGTAGACCTTTGCCACTTCATTGCAAAGGTTTGCAGAGGCACTTGTAAACGTGTTCAGATGGATGCATTTATATAATTTCTGTCAGCGGGAGCTCTCCCTTATCAGAGTGCTCAATCATTGGAACGCTGTAACTGAATTCATAACTAAATACGCTTTAGCTGAATTCATTTATGGGCACCTCTACAGCACTTTGGGAAGAACACATGGAGGTCTGCCTTACATCTGGGTGGTGCGAGGACGTGAGAGGCCTTGTGAACATCAGCATACCGCTATCACAATTACGCTCTACATGCTTTCAAGCCTAATACTTGAATGGGGCTTTAGGGTCGGTTCCTTTCAGTTCCAGGTGCCTAGTGTCACATTTTTGCTTTCGGAAAACATTGCCAGCTCAAAAATCACCAAATTGTTATTGAAATTCCAGACTCATTTCAGGAAAGATTTTTGGGACTGTTCTAATATAAGTGAAGTATTTTGACCAAGGAACTATAAAATTATTTAAAAATAATAATACATAGATTAGTAGATTTTTCTTCTGATTATCTTGGAATTGTGCTTTTAAATCTTGAAAACCTAAGTATACTGCTGAGTCTTGAGAAGTGGGTTTGTCAGTGAAAGCTCGCATTAAAATATAGCAGTTAGTCTTTTAAGGTGCTGCAACATCTTTTTTCATTTTCTTTTCGTTTTGCTTTATATATTGAGTCACACTTAATCAGTTTTAATTTATATTCCCATGCTCTGCTACAAATCAGGTTGGATGCAAATAGCTGGTTTTACCTTTATTTGTCATCAGCAAGCTGCTATTCTGTGCCTCTTTTTTATTTCACAAACAGTGAGTCACGAGATGATCAATCACTGTTAAAAATTGATGATGATGTTCCCAAAGTCAGCCAGTCCACTATAACCTAGTGAAGGGCATTGTTAACTCAGTAAGAGAGCCAAATACAAGCTAACAGCTGTTAGGAATTTTGTGAACACAGGGGAAATAATTATAAGCAAAAGCAAGATTATATAGAGAAAGCAGGATTAGTGCATTGCAATTTCATGGTTGAAGAGCAGCTTTCATTAAAAAATAGTAAACAAAGCATTTACTTTTGTGGAAGAACTGGTTTGGGACAAAATAAACAAAATTGTATTCTCATCTGTTAGTGCTGTTCTGATTTTTATCTAGATAAATGGACAGGTTCTGTATGGAAAGACTCACCAGAATGCATCTTCAATAATCAAATGTGCACCTTCTAAAGTAAAAATAATATTTATCAGGTAAGCAAATTTTAAAATTTGTATCTTTTATTATATTAGGATTTATTTTCTTATCTTAATGCATCTTTTAATACTACATTTTTTCACAAATAATCCAGTTTCTGTAGCTTTGGAAAAAGTTTCCCTGGATGATAAATTTATTTGCAACCCTGTGATTATTTTACATAGTTCCTTTAAATGTCTGGCATTTTAGATATCAAAACAATTATGAAGTTAATTTTATAATTTTAAAAAAAACGTACTTTGTATATTATAGAAACAAAGATGCTGTCCATCAGATGGCTGTTTGTCCTGGGAAATCAGTAGAGACTTCAGCTTCCTCTTCTGGGACACTTCAGCATGAAGAGGTACAAGCTTTCAAAGTTTATCTTATTCAGGGGACACAATAATTATGCTTCATAATTGTTGTTATCATTGTCATCGTTATGTTACTGCTATTGTTTTGACTTCTATATTCCATAGAAGTGCCTGGAGCATTCACTGCACGGTTTACAACATAATCATGCAAACAAAAACTTGCTCCCCAATGAGCTGGGTACTCAATTTACCAACCTCAGAAGGATAGGAGGCTGAGTCAACCTTGAGCCAGCTACCTGAATGCACCGGGATCAAACTGAGGTTGTGAGCAGAGGCTTTGCTGCAGTATTACAGTTTAACCACTGTGCCATAGAGTTTGATCTCCTTTATGAATAGATAATATAAAAATCTTGTTTGTACTGGTTCTTTAGTGACACAATAAGCTTTCAACATTTACTGTATCTTCAGGATACAAAATAACTGTGCTTTATTATTGTTAAATAATAAACTCTTCTCAAAACCCAGGTTCAATCCCAGGTAGCCGGCTCAAGGTTCACTCAGCCTTCCATCCTTCTGAGGTCAGTAAATTGAGTACCCATCTTGTAGGCGAGGCAATGTGTAGCCTGTATAATTAACTTGTAAACATCCAAGACAGTGCTTGAAGCTCTATAGGGCAGTATATAAGCAACACACTTTGTTATTCTTGTTGTTGTTTTGACAATACTGATCCATAGCGAAAGAACACTCTGGGCAAATTTAATAAGGATACTGTACTTTAATGTGAATCTAAATGGGGAGGAAAATTAGGTATGTTGAATCTGTGACATGTGTAGTGAATGTGGTTCAGTATATCTTTGCTTTGATCATTTATTTCATTCTTTTAGAGTGAAGCAAATCTTCCAAGTTCTGTTCTGCCTATAGACTTGAGTTTATATAAGAATCTTAAAAATATTGAACTGCCTAAGGTAAATAACTGTGGATATATTCTGTATATTCCCACTGCGTACCTTCTACTACCTAATACAACTCATTCTGGAAAATTCAGGATTTGGGGAGTAAAAAAAAATCTGTGAAATGTGGATGTCCTTAACTTCTTTCTATACACAGCTGAAGATTTTTGACCAGAATATGTTATTTGTAATTTGGTCAGCTGTATTTTTTTGGAATAGTATTTGATTCAAGTTGGAGTTATGGTGGCACCTTAGTGGAAATTTGATATGCCTGCTGGGAGGATTTAAATCATGGAACTAAGCATCCACTACTTGCATTATAAGATGGGATAACCAGTTATTTTCTGCTGCTGATTCATGTATGCCTTGAACACCCACTCTTCATGACTGAGTCAAGTTTTATCCCTTAGGCAAGCTTCAGTGCTAATAATGAACTATACACATTCGTTTACATGTGCATGCTCGCAGGTTCCAGTGTTTTGTTCAGAGGAAATATATAAGGATTTATTTGTTTTTTGTTTGTTTGTCTTGGTTAATAAAGCATAAAATAAGGAAAGTTTGTGATTATGGCACTTTGGATATTAAGGGTCGGGGACCATAGCTATGTAAGGACTAGGATAAAGAAAGAAATGGCCAAGGAGTGGGGCTAACAGTATATCTTCTAACCACAGGCCTCCCAAGTTTGACTGCTGGTTTCTGTTTTTGTAAAGCAGGGGTCCCCAACCCCTGGTCTGCAGTCCGGTACTAGGCCATGACTTTGGCGCGCGCGCACACACACACACACACACACACACACACACACACACACACACACCCTGCATGCATGGATGCCCCCCACATACATGCATGGACACACGCATGCTCCACCCAAACATTAAACCAGTCAGCGGTGAGAAAATGGTTGGGGACCATTGTTGCAAAGGACATAAACTTCCATTTCCTTGTTCTTTGAAACATGAACTTTTTAACTTCCAGTTTAGATTAATTTGGTAACTGGCAGGTTGTGAGGCAAGATTCTGATCTTTTACTAGATCTCCTCATGAAGGCTGCCACGAGTTTTTTTGCTTTGTCGGTGCCTAGAGGATGGTCTCCCAGCTACTTAGGAGCTGATGATTTTTACACTAAACATCTTTCATCAATTTCTTTGATAACTGTTGATATTTCTTGTGATTCCATAGGATCAAGCTGGCATAGGCATTGCCATTGGTGAAGAGGATACACTTAATGGTGTGATCATTCAGAATTTAACAGAGCATGGTACAGCGCGAAAGGTAAACAGAAAACTTGTTCAAGGAAAAAGTATAATAAGGGTACAGAAGGAAATCCACCCCTCCCCATTTCAACAAAATCCTATCTTAATAAGTTTGTTTTGGTTTTCAGGATGGTCGTATTAAAGTTGGAGATCAGATTTTAGCAGTGGATGATGAAATTGTTGTGGGATACCCTATAGAGAAGGTATGTGAGCAGTAAATATCCTATGCATTTAATCATGTTTGTTCTCTGTATCTGTTGGAGGACCTTGAAAATCTATACAGTTGTATTCAGGTGCAGGATCAGGACAATTTTATCTGCCATGTTATTGAAAAAATGAAATGTGTGCAAACTTTTTAAAAAACAATCTCTTTTCCCATTTATTGGGCATCTTTTATTTTGATCTTTATTTTGGAAGTTGTGATAATCCTGGGAGCTAGTTGATAACATTTTATTTGAAAGGTAGCATGTATAAAATAGTGGTCCCTGTAATAATGTTCAACACTGTGATTGGGTCTGTGTTTTAAAGTAAGCTGTCCCCCTTTTTCTATGTGATTAGCAACAAGAGACAGAATTTCTTTAGCCAAACATTTAATATCTTCAGGACGGGAGGGGTGATTACAACTTCGGTAGGTCCAACAGGACTATTGAACATAAGTAAACCATTCCATGTCATGGTCAGTCCAATCTGTGCAGTCGTTTCTTTTAGCATGGCGACATCCCAAATATTCCCTGATTGGTTGGCTTCCTCAAAGGTTGCTCTGCACCACACATATGGTCCCATGGCATGGGTGACATGCTCAGTCTCCTTTGTGTGGGATCCCTCCAGTGGGAATAGGATCTGGACACACCACCTTCTTCCAAGGACCCTTCCCCCTCAGGTAGACATACACTGTCCATTCATACGGATCTAATTCTCCTAATTGAACTCTTATTCCTGTTGTTACTCATCCCAGCATAGATCTCCCCCCTCTCTCTATCCTTCTCCCCTCTCTTTGATAAAGTAAATATATATGGTCCTTCTTCCCCACTATCCCCTTTTCTCCTCCTCCACTGCCGCCAGACTTGCCAAAGATCTCCAGCTCCTTCCTTTCCCCGCCTCTTCCTCCCATTCTTCAGTTACCAGAAAACTCTCTACCATTGGTTGTTCTGTTCCTGCCTTTCTTCCCCCATCTCTTTCAGTTTTCTGAACTTCCCCCGAAGTCAGATTTTGAATCATAGCCTGTGCAGTATTCGGCACTTTTTCAACTCCTTCCACCTGAAACGATGGAGGGGATGGGTCACTTTCAAGTTTAACCATCTTAATCGGTTCCTCTTCACAAACACACACCCCCACCCCAAATTATGATGATCACACTGTTTGCCAGGGAGCAGGATGGGAAAATTACAGTATGGTTAGCCCTTGCTAGTGAGTAGAGCTAACTATCATGTTTGTTGAAAGAGCCTGCCATGCTCTTGTTAAGTCAATTACAGTGGCTGTCCAGGGTACACTAGATTAAAAATCAGACAGATACCAATACTGGTTTTTTACATAATCAGCTTGTTCTTTTTATTGTTTATCAAGTTTATCAGTTTGCTGAAGATACCCAAGTCTACTGTGAAACTCACTATCAATTCAGCTGAACAGGAGACTCAGACAGCAGCTCATCCACAACTACCCATTTACAGCAATACTTCAGGGGAGAAAACTAATATCCAGCAGTCAGCAGCTATTCTACCTCCTGAATCACCAGAACCAGAGTCTATTAAAAGTAAGAACCATTCATGTCTTATAGACAACTAATTTAAACACATGAACACATGCACACATACACATGCACACATATACACAGACACACTTCCACATTTGCACACAAGAGAGTATTGGACCAGTTACAATTGTCTTCTCCAGATAGAAGGCTCTGAACTCTAGAACTAGAAGAGCCATTGGCTTAGGTTTCTTTGGCTGAAATCATGTTGCTTAACATAGTAAGTTGCAGCTTGAGTAGGCCCATTGAAACGGGAGATTTGATGTAAACAACTCCATAAGTTCCGTTGTTTCAATGGGCCTACTCTAGTTGCAACTCACTGTACCAAGCAACAGGTTTCCAGCCATCAAGTTGGTGGCCCAAGTCTCTTCCTTGAGAAAACAACAATGCAAAACATTTTATTTTAAAGCTAAATGTGTCACTGCCTGGCAACTATTCTTCTGTTGTTTTTCAGTCCTTTGCTACCTTTTGCCTCAACAAGATTCCATAGACCCCTCAGTTCAAATCCCATTGAAATCATGAGGCTTAACCCATAACAACAAATTATTTGTCTCATGGATCCCAGAAAGATTAAATGCAACCAGGCTTTTCTGTGTAGGGCCTTGACCTATAAGTTCTTTACCTCAGATCAGTAAGTTAATTTTGTTCTCCCTTTTCTTTTTATATATTTCTCAAGCAGACTCATGAAATGGTTATGCTAGGTTGTTCAATTAATTCTTTGATTACAGCAGTCTTTGAAATTGCTGTCCTAAAGTTACTATATAGTAAACTTTTTTTATTATGACTACTGTGTCGATTATCTGTTGTCAGATACAAGCAGGTCCTCTACTCCAGCCACATTGGCCTCTGATCCAGCTACATGCCCAATCATCCCAGGCTGTGAAACTACAATCGATATCTCCAAGGGGCACACGGGTCTCGGTTTGAGCATTGTCGGAGGAGCAGATACATTGCTGGTTAGTAAAAAAAAATCTTAGTTATTTCTAAGCAATCAAAGCTAACATTCCTAATAGGTTATGTTTGTTTCTCACAGCACAGTCCTAGATCTGTCGAATAAGTCTCATTGAACTGTGTGGCACTCATTCCCCAGTAGACACATATGATAACTGCTGACATAGACAGTATACAGTGGGGTCTCTACTTAAGAACGTCCCTACTTAAGAACAATTCCACTTAAGAACAGCTCCATTTACTAAATTTTGCTTCTACTTGAGAACAAAAAACCAGATAAGAACAGGAAAAAAAAAACTTTCCTGCTCTTTTTTTAACCTTAGGTCATCTTAGGTTAAAAAAAAAAATTCTCCCCCTAGTGGTAGAGTACGTATTAACCAGCTTTGCATTAGTTCCCATTGCTTCAAAATTAGCTTTGTCAGAAGTGCTTTTAACACTGTTCCCTGACCTAAGAGAAAAAAAAGAAAAAAAATCCCCCTCTAGTGGTAGAAGGCGGAATAGCAGCTTCCCATTAGTTTCTATGGATGGAAAAGAGCAGATACAGATTAAATGGTTTTCAATGCATTCCTATGGGAAATGCAGATTCTACATAAGAACTTTTCCACTTGAGAACCACCTTCCAATACGGATTAAGTTCTTAAGTAGAGACCCCACTGTAATGAAAACACTCAATTTCTATGTGGTTAGGAATTAATGGTGGAAATGCAGCTGTGTGTGCACAGCAATGATTATGTCATTATAGGCAGCAAATTACCACTGTTTAAAAGTAAGTTCAGAGTGCACACAGCTACTGTACAACATAATGAAGTCCCATGCACTGGTATCTAAAGCCCTTAACAGCTGGGATCAAGAACACTTCCCCTCTATGTACAGTCCTATTCCTGTTAGCTGGCACAAACTACTATATATCCTATAGGACTGCTAAATTTGTTAAACAAGCCATGGAAAGTTATCTGGAAGTTGAGTCATGGCAACTGGATTCCTTTGTTGTTAGGTTGAAACGTTTTGTTACTCATCCAAGCAGCTTCTTCAGTTGGAGGAGAGCTGATAGGAGATCCCTGATATATCCTCCACGTTGATATATCACAGATCTCCTACCAACTTTCCTGCTTGGATGAGTAGTGCAACATTTCAACCTAACAAGAAAGAAGTCCAGTTACCATGACTCAACTTCCAGATAACCACATCTGGATGACTGAGGATCTTCACAGATATAAACCATGGAAAGGCAGAACTTACTGCCTTCTTCATAAGTTCTTCAAGTTAATCTCACATCTTCTCTTTTTTCTTTTTTGAGAATGCTGTTAAATTTTATTACTATTATTTCATTATTTTATGTATTTTATGCTTGCTTGTACTGTATGTACTTGCATGAGATGCCAAGTACTATTTTATTATTGGTTTAATCTATGTTATTGTATATAACCTGATTGGCTACAAAATAAAAAAGTATTTGTATTCGTGCACCATGAAAATACCACAGGAAGCCTTTCATCAGCAGCCAGTTGCTGCTCATGCCATAATGACCATTGTGCATGCACACCTCTGCAACAGGATTTCAGTCAATACATCCATAACCACACTCGTTATTTTAAATGTTATGTCTTGTTTAATTCTTATTTGTATTGATGCTTTTTAATGTCGCAGCAGCAGCAGACCCACCGTTCCTCAATTCCTGTTTCTTTACCGCTTTGGGTTCCTAATAGGCATTTTTTTTTCACCAGACACCCCCCCCATCAATTTCTTTAAAGAGATACAGTACCTACTTTAACTCTCACATATCTGTATCTTGTGGTTCTTTGTAGCCTCTTCTTGTTGTTTCATATACTTGGGATAGTTGCTGTGGAGGAATAAAATCCAGAAGTCTCAGTAGGATTTATTTATTTGTTGTTCTTAAATCTGCAGGGAGCAATTATTATTCATGAAGTGTATGAAGAGGGAGCAGCATCCAAAGATGGAAGGCTCTGGGCTGGTGACCAGATCTTGGAGGTATAGTGCTGTGTATTTTACTTCCTCTGCATTGAAAAGTGGAGAGAGGGCCAGTGTGAGGAGGAGGAGGAGGAGGAATGGGCTAAAGGAAGTAGATCCTCTCTCTTCTGTTAAAGTGTGAAGGTCTCTCACACACACCAGGTACTACCACTGGCCAATACGTCATTGGCAAGGGTTTCCACAAACTCCATACTGTCTAAACTGCTTGAAGCAGATTTTATTGCTACTGGGGAATGGGGTACAGAATACTGAGGGGTATTAGTCAGTCCCTGCTCCTCCAAAACTCCTGAGAGTTCAGTCTCTTCCTGACTCATAGTTCCGATCCTTGGAGTCAAGGCATTCTTGGTCCGTGAGTGGCACTGAGGCTTCAAGACATCCTCAAGCCACCCTACTCCCTTCAGGGAGGTTTTGTAGTGGAGGCTACTCAAAAATGGGGTCAAATCCTCAATTCCTCCTGCTTTCACCGTTGGTGCTTCTGCTGGTGTTTTCAGCTCCATTTCCTGCTTTGTGTTGGGGTGGGGATCAGGTACTGTGCCGGTTGCTGAGACTCCACAGGGATGGGATTAGCAATGGTGGGGGACTGAAAATAGGTGCCCCTCCTCCCCATGACCTCTTCCCTTGGCCACAAAAGTCTCCGGTGGTCCTCAGTGTGAGTGTACTCAGTGTTCCTTGATGCACACAGGACTTGGATCCAGTTCCTTGCTGACATCACCTTTCTCCTTGCCAACAGAATCCACAAAGGTCTCTGTGACAAGCTCTTTCTCTCTCCCCTCTCCTCCCTTCCTTTTCCTCATTCTTTGTCCCTGCCAGTCTCTGACCCTTGTCCCAGGTATGCCACATTCTGCTTTGTGGCCTCTGTGAATCACAACCTGGGTAATCTGTGCATGTGCGGAGCCTCATTGAAATATTCTAGAGTTTCTGCGGTAGCAAAAAAAAAAAAAAAAAAAAATAGTGTAGACCCCTCCCCCTCAGTATATGTACTTTGGCGCCAAGACTCCCCTTTCAGTTTCTTTCAACTGCCATATTGAGAGCCTCATTCGTTGCTTCTGTGAGTTATCTAAAATGAAAGAAAGTCCATTCTTCAGATCTTTATTCTTTATTCTTTTATTAGTTTTATTTCTCCATTTTAAAAAAGAAAGAAAAAGATTGCTTTGGCCTTAGGGCTGAAGCTCCCCCCTTCCTTAAACTGTTTTTTCTTCATTTCATGGCCCCTGTGGGCCCGTTTAAATGCTGTGTGGTCTGTGAGAACAAAATCCCATTTTCAGAATGCCACGCTAAATGCATTTTTTGTCTCTGTGAGGCCCACCAAATCTCTACGTGCCCTCATTGTAAAAACTTTAAACACAGAGTTCTCTGCAGCTGCCTCTCCTGACTCAAGCTTTGGCTTTGAGAGTAATCTTTTCAACCTGCTGAACCTGCTTATAAATCTACCTCGCGAGCTAAAGCCATGAGCAAAGCCATTTCTGCCACTCCATTCTGTGCCAATGCTCCCTCAACATCGATCAAAAATACAAAGGTACACAAGACCAAGCATTCAACATCAAAACCCTCAACATCGAAAACAACCACTTAGCGGAAACCATCCACCGACACGTCTTCGGCTCCCTCGCCACCAAAGCCTAAATCTTTCAAGGCCAAACCTTCCAATGTCACTTCTCCACCTCCACAGCTACCATAGTCTGGAGATCTGATATACGTCGGCCCACTCCTGGATGAAGAGGGACTTCCATCTCACCAACCATCTCCATCACAGTCGCCAAAATGGGACTAGCGAGTTGATCAGCTCACATCCTCTCCTGCAAGCCCTCAGCACTCGGGCTCTCCTAATGAGTCCTCCTTGGTTACTTTGCCTGATGTCCATGGAGCCGAGATGTAACCTGACACAGTGCCCTACTCCATTCCAGAAGGCCTACCACCTCGGCCTCTGACACACCATCAAGGGCACCAGACACACAACCAGCCCCCAATTCAATCTTTGTTGGGGCTTCGCAGTCTCATTCCTGACACCAACAAGCTCTCATACCACCTAACAAGGATAGCAGGCGGATTGACTCCATGGGCAGATGGCTATATTCTTCTGCTGCCTTTATTGTGAGAATTGCCAACTACCAAAAACCCATGGGTGCTTACTAGTGCTTCCTCTGGGACAATATGTCCACCTTCATCAATGTACTCCTTGAGGCCAAAAGGTACTGGCACAAACCTTTCAACAATAAGGGCTCTCGGTTTCCAAACAACAAATGCTGTTCGCCAGACACACTTTCGATGCCACGACCAAATCTATGGCTACATCTGTGGCACTTACGCGTTTTTCCTGGTTAAAAACTGCGGGCCTTGTGGAGGATGCGTGTAACATATTGAAGATCTCCCATTTGACAAGGCAGGTCTTTTTAATGCTGAAACAGATGACATCATTGAAAACATCCAAAAGAAAAGAACAGCTGCTAAAGGATGGGGAGTCTACCCCACATACCAGCAACGTCCTCAGTTCACTCAATGGCACCGCCCTTATAACTCCTACCAGAAATTCCAGCATGAACCTCAAAGGCAAACATCTTACACACCTTACTACAAACAACAACCTTACCGGGCCAAACCCCACCAGCAAGCCACAACCAGGCACAATGACCGCAAATCCAAACATCATGTTTGACTCTCAGCTGGTCGAGATCCCAACACACACTCACATTTCTCCTCCAGCTCTTTGGAAACACTTACCTGCATGGGAAAGCATCACCACCAATACTTTGGTCCTTTCCATCGTTCAAAGTGGATACTGAATGCAATTCCAGCAGCTACCTCCGCCATCGCATACCCTTCAAGACGAAATTCAATCACTGCTACTCAAAGATCCCATAGAGCCAGTACATCAAACAAGCAGAGGCTTTTTCTCCCGTTATTTTTGTTGTTTTGTCGTTAAGTCATGTCCGACTCTTTGTGACTCCTGGACCAGAGTGTGCCAGGCCCTCCTGTCTTCAACTGCCTCCTGGAGTTGGGTCAAATTCATGTTGGTAGCTTCGGTGACACTGTCCACCCATCCCGTTATTTTACCACCCCCAAAAAAGATGGAGGCCTCTGCCCCATCCTTGACTTCAGGATGCTAAATCAATACATCATTACCACCAAATTCCATATGGTTACCCTCAAATCTGTCCTCCCCCTACTCTGCAAGAAGGGCTGGTTCACAGTCATAGATCTAAGGGACACTTATTTCCATGTATCCATCCCTCTCACAGGCCTTACCTTCACTTCCAACTCATTCAGGCTTGCAACAGCTCCCAGAGTCTTTACCAAATGCCTGGTTCCCGTAGCAGCTTACCTCAGACTTCTGAAAATTCATATTTTCCCTTACATAGATTACTATCTCCTCGTAGCTCATTCCCATCGCACAATGAGACATTCAATTTACACTGTCTCTTGTCCATGATCTTGGCCTCGCTGTAAACATACAAAAGTCCAAGTCAAAGCCTAGAAGGCTAGTTCACTACATAGGAGCACTCATAGATTCCAAACACGCTCGAGCATTCCTCCCAACAGACAAGTGTCTCAAGTTGCTATCCCTGCTTCGCATATTTACCCCCCATGCACTTGTGCTTGCATTAATAGTGCAACGTATCTTAGGCACTATGGCATCAGTGACCTCTGTAGAACAGCATACAGTATATGTCTCAAAATGAGGTCACTCCAAGCATGGTTACTGGCTTTGTTCAATCTGATAACAGAGCCTCCTCATACTCTGTTACAGGTCACCCCAGAACTCACCACCCAGTTTTCCTGGTGGCGCGCCACTCAAAACCTTACAATGGATCGACCTTTCCAACAGCGGTGTCCTCAAATACAAGTCACCACTGATGCCAGCCTCACAAGATGGGGTGCTAATTGCAAATCCCTACAGATTCATATGCAATGGTCACAAAGAGAAAAACGACATATCAACGAGTTAGAACTTTTAGTGGTGATAAAGGCTTGCAAGGCTTTCAGAGACCATCTTATTGGCAAAATTATTGAAATTGCCACTGACAACACTATCACAATGTACTACATTCTCAAACAGGGAGGCACACTCTCTCCCAGCCTCCTTTATCTCACGGTTGACCTGTGGGAATGGTACCTATCCCATCATATCTGCCTCACAACGATACAGATAGCCAGCCAAGACAAACAATCTGGCAGATCTTCTCATTCGCAAGGAATCCCAGGCCCATGAGTGGGAACTCTACCAAGCCATCTTTCTCCTTCTTCACAAATGCTGGGGCACACCTACCATTGACCTTTTTGCTTCCTGAAAAAACCGGAAGTGCAAACAGTACTGCTCACAGGCAGGAGTTGGCAAGCACTCCGCAGCAACGCATTCCTAGGCTGTTGGCCCAGATCACTAACTTACCTCTCTCCCCCATTTCCACTCTTCCACAAAGTTGTAGTTAGCCACCAACAGGACAGACCCCATGCTATTCTGATAGCTCCATGGTGGCCGCGACAACCTTGGTCCCTGGTTCTCCACCAACTCTCATCCAACATATCACCTGCCCTACCTGCCTCACCTGCTTACACAGAATAAAAGTCAAATTCTCCACCCAGACCTACTTGCCCTTCATCTGGCAGCATGGAGGATTCTGCCTCATTGATGAATGTTCTCCATCAGGCAAAGAAACCCTCAACTAGGAAATTTCAGTCCTTTATTACAACATCTTCACTGTTGTCAGTCAATCCTTCCCTATCCACTGTCCTTCATTTTTTACTTCATCTAAAAATGAAAGGCCTCTCCCTTTCCTCCCTAAAGGTTTATCTCGCTGCAATCATCTCTTAACAGTCACCAACCTCTCCAGCAGTTCAGTTTTTCAGACACCCTACTCTTAAGTGGCTGTTGCACATTTACCCAGACATGCATCCACCATCACCTCGGTGGTCCCTGATAGTAGCCCTTCAACATCTTACAAGGGCCCCATTTGAATCCTTAGCGTTAACTGACCTCAGACTAATCACCTTTAAGACAGAGTTCCTCATTGCTATTACGTCCACTCGTCATGCCAGTGAACTCGCAGCCCTACGATTTGATTACCCTTATCTCCAATTTTATCCAGATAAGGTCAAACTGTTCGTAGATATTTCTTTTTTGCCCAAAGTAGTCTCCCAGTTTCATCTGTCACAGCTGTTGGTCTTTTTTCCCTTCTCCATCTATGCCTCAGGAAAAGATCCTTCATACTTGGAATGTAAGAAGGGCTCTCGCTTTCTACTTGGCCTGCATGCAACCCTTCAGACGTTCAGCTCGACTTTCTGTCAGCTACCAACTCTACTAAAGGTCTTCAAGTGACCCCACAGAGGATATCTAAATGGGTTGCTTCCACTATTCACCTAGATTACCAGCTTGCTTAACTGACAGCTCCACAATCTGTTTGCCCTCATTCTATCAGGGCAGTGGCAACATCTATGTCATTTCTTCGCGGCATTCCCCTTCCAGACGTCTGCACCTCTGCCACATGGTCATAGCCGTCCACGTTTATCAACATTACAGATTGGAAGTTCGGCAGAAATCTGATGTGGCCTTTGGACGTGCAGTGTTTATATTGGCATGACACCCTCCTCCGGGTAAGACATCTTGTTAGTCACCCAGGGTGTGATTCACAGAGGCCATGAAGAAGAACAATAGGTTACTCACCTGTAATTGTAGTTCTTCGAGTGGACCTCTGTGATTCACACATCCCGACCCGGCCTCCCCACTGTCACACCTTTCCTTTTATGTGACTGTTGACTTAACTGAAGGGAGAGCCTTGGCACCAAGGTACTGAGGGGGAGGGGTCTACACTAATGTGTTTTTTTTTGTTGTTGTTGTTACTGCGGAAGCTCTAGTATATTCTGATAAGGCTTTGCACATGTGCAGATTACCCAGGGTGTGAATCACAGAGGTCCACTCGAAGAACTACAATTACAGGTGAGTAACTTGACGTTACCTTACCTCTCACTTCTTTGTTCTGTCAGCTGCCAGTGGGTCTGAGCCTTGGGCTTTCTAGCTATGGTCTCCTTGCACCTGTGGTCTCCTCCAGAGGGCACAGGGTGGTGCGAGGGCAGACAGCCTACCAAGGTCACTAGCAGTGACCCCTTTACATAAAGACATGAAAAGTATCCAGTTTGTGATATCCATCCTGCATTTATATTCCAGGTGAATGGAATTGACCTCAGGAGTGCAACACATGATGAAGCCATAAACGTTCTGAGACAGACACCTCAGAAGGTCCGCCTAACTGTTTATAGGGACGAAGCCCAATATAAGGAAGAAGACATGTATGATGTACTTAGCATAGAGTTACAAAAGAAGCCAGGCAAAGGCCTTGGACTCAGTATTGTTGGGAAAAGGTATGTTGTGCCTTTGAATAAATCCCAAATATTCGTTTTGTAAGAGAAGGCAGAATCCACATCCATTGTGTTTGGTGCCGAGTGTGACCAAATGACAAGAAAGCTGGATTGTGGCATGGCAGATATCATTTCAGCTCACTGGCCCTTTCACCTCCTGGTCAGCCATACTGCAAACCAGACTCACTTCCCTATTTCAGCAGTTGAGATGAGCAAAATGCCAAATAAAGCTATTTAGAGAATGAAAGATACAAGGAAATGCTGTTCTATTTGTGACATGGTGTGCTATAAATAGTGTTTCTCGGCTTCCTCTTTGCACCAGATGGCAAGCGTCCTCAGAAAAAGCAACGGCCTCTTATTTTTGTAGTATTTGAGAAGCAAGACAACAGAAGTAATAATGTTGAGAATGCAGCTGCCATTCTCAATAATTGAGAATTATGATTGAAATCCAGTAATAAATGACAACTACAGTAGGCTTATTGAATCAGTTGAACTTACAGAGTAGTTAACACAACAAATCCCCATTAATTCAACATATCTACTCTAGTTCCCAATAATGCTGGGAAAGGTTGAAGGCAGCAGAAAAAGAGGAGGACCAAATATGAGATGGATTGACTCCTTAAAGGAAGCCACAGGCTTGAGTTTACATGAACTGAGCAGAGCGGTTGGGGACAAGACATTTTGGAGATTGATCGTTCGTGGGGTCACCATAAGCCAGGGGTAACTTGATGACACATAACCACCACCACTCTAGTTGTGACTTGCTACTAGATTTCAGTATTATTGGGAAGAATTGCACTACTGGTACAGGATTGAGATTAGTGAAAATGCTCTTCTTTGAGGTGTTCTTAAGATTTTGAATATTAGCATATTCAAATCTGCCAGGACATAACTACTTTACACGCAAAATGCTTTCCTCTTAAATGCCTTTATGGACTGCAGAAGTTTGTTTATGTTTTGTCAGATGGGGCAATTTTGTTAGTGGTGTGTTTTTTTTGCTCCATCTCCTCTAACCTCTAACCATCAATGTACTGTGAACAGTTGTAGGGCTTGCATGTGACAAGCCAACCTGTTAAACTGTGTATATAAGACAGAGACCACAAATATATTTCAATCCAGCAAAATATTAGTTAAATGTTTGCTTTAAAAGTAAAAGAAGTACTGCTAGCAAGCAAGAGATGGCTTGCACCTAACAAAGACTAAGAAGAATGTGTTTGGCCTCAGCATGAAGAATTTCATCAGAAAGACCATAAATTGAATTGGAAGGGGGAGTGAGACGCAAACACAGAGTTAAAGATATTATGAAGCCTTTACTCACAATAAGAGGAACAAACCAAACTGTTCAAATGGGGGCAATAATAACATTAACATGAATAGCAATATTCATAAAAATGTACAAAGACAAACAGGCCACAAATCACACAATCTCTGGTATCTATATACGAATGCCAGGAGTATGGCAAACAAACAAGAAGAACTGGAAATTTTAGACCAGGAGAGCAAATATGACTTGATACGAATAACTGAAACTTGGCGGGTGACTCCCATGACTGGAATACAGCAATTGAAAGATATAAATTGTTCAAAAAGAACAAAGAGAATAGAAAGGGAGGTGGAGTTGCAGTATATGTAAAAAATACGCATTCCTGCACAGAAATATAGGAGGAGAACATTGGCTGTCCCATTGAGAACATCTGGATCAATGTAGCTGGAGCAAAAACCAAAAGGAAGCATGGTAGTTGGAGTCTACTATGAACTACCCAATCAAAGAGAGGATGCAGATGAAACTTTTGAAAAAACAAATTGCAAGCATTTCAAAGAGACATGATGTAGTAGTAGTGGGAGATTTCAGTTCTCCTGATATCTGTTGGGAGGCATTCTGGCAGAGAGATTCGTCTTCCCTCCTCCTGCCAGGAGTGGAGAGTCGATCAGGAGTTCTGGAAAGGAAGGGAGAGCAGAGCTGGTGCTGGCAGTGGATGGGTGAGTGGACTCGTTACGTCCACCTGTGCGCCATCTCTATCCCAGAGTGCAGGACACACAACAATGGGCTCAAGTTTCAGGAAGCCAGATTTTGGTTGAATATCAGGAAAAACTGTTAGAGTGCTCCAACACTGGAGGCATTCAAGAGAAACTTAGACAACCACCTGGCAGATATCCTTTGATTTATATTTCTGCATATAGCGGGGTGTGTGTGGACTTGATGGCCTTATAGGCCCCTTCCAACTTCACTATTCTATAATTCTGTGATTGTTATGTAGTAAGACAGTATAATTAATATATTTGTATTCTTATTATAAGCAAATCTAAATGTTTTTCTCTAAAGGGCATTATAGGATGTTTTAATTAAATAATTAGTTAAAAAGTCAAAATTACCCTTGCAGAAATGATACTGGAGTGTTTGTATCAGACATTGTCAAAGGAGGTATAGCAGATCTGGATGGGAGGCTAATGCAAGGAGACCAGATCTTAATGGTGAATGGTGAAGATGTTCGAAATGCTAACCAGGAGGCAGTGGCTGCTTTGCTAAAGGTACTGTTTGAATGATTGACTAACCTTTGTTACATTAACTCAGAGTTGACTCTGGACTCTCTCTTGGCTGACACTTATGCTTTCCCATAGCATTCCTGCTTATTTGGTTTCATTTGGATGAATAATTCCGAGATCAGGCTAGAAACAAATTAAAGCACTGTTATTGAAGTTATCTTCGGTTCTTGGGAGATGTCTGTTATGTTTGCATGAATGGCACAAAAATAAGCATTTATGTTTTAAGTGCTGTGGCTTCTGCCATTTGTTCTGGATTTGAAAAAGTTCTCAGAGAAGTTCCTTTTCTAACTTCCTGCTGGTTGAGATACTCTAGAAAGTTGTAGTCCAAAAAAGTAACTTTTCCATGTATTTAGTAATTGGCACAACCTTGGCTATTGTCTACACGAGACTCTTTGGCTCTTCTACTAATTAAATTCTGTGTTGTATTTTGTATTTTGAAGCCACGATTGGGCCTCATTTTACTGTAGCTTTTCACTGACTAGGAGTCAACAGGAAAAATCTTAGTCTGCTCTGAGGAGAACTAATACTAATTGGGTGTTTTTTAAAAAATCCTAAATAAATTACATGTGTTGCGATTGCTGAAGACACCGATAATGTCCATCCTTGCTGAGGGTTTAGGTGGTGAGCAATTTCTCAGACTCAGAATGTACTTTGGTATAGCTGAAGCTGGTAGAGTGTCAAACTGTAAATCCATTTCCTTATTTGATGAACATTTTTGAGAACTGGTCCAGTCTTGGCATATTTTGCTATTGGAGTGAGTTGATTCTTTGTAGTAGCCTCTGTGAATGCAAACAAATGGGTTTCTTCTGTACCTGCACAGGACTTTCGGAAGTTTCTAGACCTTAGAAAAAAGACTAACAATTAGGATACACCCCCTAGGGAGCAAGCTCCACTTCCTCAACCTTCCCCTCAGTTCCTTTTTCCCCCCTGCCGTTTGGTCAGGATGTAGGAACAATAGAGCTCCGCTGAGGAAAGTAAAAGATAGTCTTTTTCTCTATTTGATTGCTTTTTTTCCTTTTTATATCCTTTTAATTTAAATCAATGTTGGTTTCTACCCTAGTGATTTGAGTTTTTTCTCTCTCCTATAGAAATTCCTGCCTTTCCCCCATTTTTTTTCCTACCAATCTTCCATGTTTTATAGCCCCTCTGGGATTCAAGAGATGCTGCGTTTGCCTCCGTAAGATCCCACTGACAGACGGACACGATAAATGTTTGTTTTGCTTGAGGAAATCCCACCAAGCCCAGTTGTGTATCGCGTGCAAGAGCCTCTCCAAACCAGCCATTGAACTCAGGCTTCACGTCTAAGATCATATTTATACAAAAAGACCTTAAATCCCACCATGGAAGTGGGGACCCCTCCTGCGTCGAACCAACCACAAGAAGTGGCTAAACCTACACCTAGCCCAACCGCTCAATCTCTGACGAGCACGATGTCATTACCTACCAAATCCAGAGACTCGCAAAGATGTAAATCAGCCACAGTCTCTTCTAAGACTCAGCTAAAGTTGGATGACCCTGCTAAAAAGGAGGAGAAGAATAAGACTAAGAAGCAAAAGAAAACTGGTAAATTGACTGCTACAACGACCCCCTGGCTCCAATACCTCCACCTGTGATAGAAGAATCGTTTAGAGAAGCACCTATGCTCTCTGATAGAGAGGAATGTGCTATCTCTTCGGCACAGGAACCTCATGTTATTCTTAGCCTGTCTCCAAGTTCAGGCTATTCGGAGGCTGATGCACCCTCCAGCCCGGCCATGGCCCATTATCACCCTCGAACATCAGGGCGGGCAAATGTCGATGTGGAGTCTGAGTTAGAATCTCCTGTACATTCTCCGAGAAAGAGAACAGAGAAGCGTCAACATACCTCTCCATACCAGCCTCGTCGACATGGAGAACCTTGCTGCAATACTGAACGTCATCCATGCTACGGACATCATTACTCGGAACCGTACCACCCATATTGGTACCATGAACATGGGATACCATGATGGCTTTAGAGGATTTAGATATCCTCCTCCAACATGGTACTCACCACCGAGATCGCCCTCTCCAAACTGCTCTCGACATCGAGACGACCTCATACCATACCAAGAGAGACTGTCACGAAAAAGAATGGCACCACTGGAAACCAGTGCCCCAGCGAAAGGGTCCAAACCGGCTAAGAGACAATCTACCGTAGCTACGATGACTGTATACTCTGGACCCCATAGACACAACACCGAGCTGCCCTTGATGCCTACCCAGTCAGTTGATGGCTTCCTACCTAGAGCACACATAGAAGGACCAGACCGTTCTCCCCTCGATGTCTTCCACCTCCTTCCGAGATGAAGGCTTATCTTTGTTGGATGTCTACACTAGTCAACATCCCGCTCCTCATTCGGATACACTTGACAACCACCCTCCTTCACTTTCGGAGGATTACATGTCGTATGCTCAGCTCATCTTTTGTGTTGTTGTTGTTTAGTCGTGTCCGACTCCATGACTCCATGGACCAGAGCATGCCAGGCCCTCCCGGAGTTCGGTCAAATTCATGTTGGTCACTTTGATGACACTGTCCAACCATTTCATCATCTGTCATCCCCTTCTGTGTTGTCCAGGATATACAAATCTTTCTGGTATAATTCCTCATGTACTCTTCCCACCTCTTCTTGATGTCTTCTGCTTCTGTTAGGTCCCTACCATTATTGTCCTTTATGATGTCTATCTTTGCACAAAATGTTCCTTTAATATCTCCAATCTTCTTGAACAGATCTCTGGTTTTCCCCTTTCTATTCCTTTCCTCTCTTTCTTTGCACTGTTCATTTAAGAAGGCCCTCTTGTCTCTCCTTGCTATTCTTTGGAAGTTTGCATTCCATTTTCTGTAACTTCCCCTGTCTCACTTGCCTTTTGTTTCCCTTCTCTGCTATTTGTAAGGCCTCGTTGGACAGCCACTTTGCTTTCTTGCATTCCCTTTTCTTTGGGATGGTTTTTATTGCGGCCTCCTGTACAATATTACGAGCCTCCATCCATAGTTCTTCAGGCACTCTGTCCACCAAATCGAGTTCTTTAAATCTGTTATTCACTTCCACTGTGTATTCATAAGGGATTTGGTTTAGATTATACCTGACTAGCCCCTTGGTTTTTCCTACTTTCTTCAGTTTAAGCTTGAAATTTGCTATAAGAAGCTGATGATCAGAGACACAATCAGCTCCAGGTCTTGTTTTTGTGTCCCTGCACGGCATAGCCCATAGCTTCTCTGAATTACTCAAGTCCCTTCACTGCAACAAGGTAGCAATCCATGAATGGATTACTGGATACTCAACTGGATACTCAACTACCTTCTCAGCAAGAGAAGGACCTTATTTTCCATGGTCTTGAACAAGAGAAGACCCCTCCTCCTAGCCTGAGCCTCATACCGGCACTACTCCAGCTTGTCAAGGAATCCTGGGACAAGCCACCCTCAACGTTACAGACTCCACACCGAGTCGAACACCACTACAATACACATGGCCTGGACACCACTTTTCTACTCAAATACCCAACACCTAAGTCAATAGTAGTTGAGTCAACCCAGTATAAATCACACACCAAGTTTTCAATAACCCTGTTAAATAGGGAGGGTAGCAAAATGGACTCCATGGGCTGATGATTAGCATCTCTAGTTACCAGGAAGCCATGGGTGCCTATCAAAGACACTTATGGGATAAGATACTCCCGTCGCAGCAAGCAGCTTCCGAAGCAGTGAGATCAGATCTGTTGAATACATATACAGTGTTGCCCCACTTGATGATTACCTCATTAGACGAGGAAATCGCTTAACAAAAAAATTCATGCAGAGCCTTCAGAACATCAGACCTCCAACACAACAGGTCATTCCTCAATGGTCACTATAATTAGTTTTGGAATTGCTAACCAAGCCTCCATTTGAACCAATGGCTACTTGCAATAAAAATTTATTATCTCTAAAGATGATCTTCCTGATTGCGATTACATCAGCTAAGCGGGCAGGCGAATTGGCGGCTCTAAGATCTGACCCTCCATACTTAGAACTCCATCCGGACAAGGTGATTCTCTACTTCAATGTCTCCTTTCTACCCAAGGTGGTATCCGAATTCCACATGAATCAGCCGATAATACTGCCAACACTATTTCCTTCCCTGTCCACTCCAGTCGAACGCAAGCTGCACACACTAGATGTCAAATGGCCTCCAGCCTTCTATATCGACAGAATGAGATGGTTTCGAAAGTTTCCGAGATTGTTCATGTGCTACCATGGAACCAATAGAGGTTCTCCAGCATCGACCCAGACAATATCCAGATGGATAGTTCAGGCTATACAGTTAGCTTATGAACTCTCTGGCAAGTCGATTCCTGATTGCCTGAAAGCCCATTCTACCTGAGCAGTCTTGACATCGACTGCACTACACCACAGAATAGAAGTGTGGGACATTTGCCAAGCAGCTACCTGGTCCAATCCATTGACGTTTACGAAGCATTACTGCCTCAACATCAGGGCAAACAATGATGCTGCATTCGCCAGGACAATTCTGACATCTCTACTTCCATGACAGCCCTCATACCGGTAAGTGAGCTTGTCAGTCAATCATTTGTGTGCATTCACAGAGGCCACTATGAAGAAAGATAGGTTACCTACCTGTAACCATGGTTCTTCCAGTGGACCTCTGTGAATTTACACATCCCTGCCTTCCTCCCCTCTATCCGTCACGTTGTCTGTTATTAATACTATTCTACTTGGCAACAGCGGACTTTGGAGGAACTGAGGGGAAGGTTGAGGAGGCGGAGCTTGTTCCCTGGGGGGTATCCTAATTGTTAGTCTTTTTTCTAAGCTCTAGAAACTTCCGAAAGTCCTGCGCAGGTGCAGAAGAAACCCATTTGTGTGAATTCACAGAGGTCCACTAGAAGAACCATGGTTACTTGCCTGGTGAAATGTTAGTTACTGTCTCCCACTCAAAGCATTGCACTGGACTAGAAGCCCATTGACTGAACAATGTTGTTTCAGTGGCTGTGACAGTCAGCTGATCTGTCCTTTTTATGAATGTTTCTGTACTACAAATCTCATCTCCCTGTACCCAGCTGACAGGCATGGACAATGTGAAATGTGTTTCTTCATTCATAGTTTTAGATACTGTCCATACCATTGCTTTATTATACTGTTGCAATCCCATATAGAGTTTTCAGCTGATTCTTGTGTGAAAAAGGCTTTGATAGTCCCTTTAACTGAGATATGCTTTTAATGATCCTGTGTTAAGGAATCTGTGTCTCAACAAACAATACCTGCTCTTCAGTGCTCGTTAGGTACAGTCAGACTAGAAGTTGGAAGAATAAAGGCAGGCCAGTTCCACTCGGAGAGGAGAACATCTCAGAGCAGCCAGGTTTGTAACTGCTTATATTGCCTTCTTTTGGAATCATCACAAGCACTGTTAAATTATATAAGCAAATAAAAAGGAATTGAATTTGCAGTGACAGTGATTTTTCCGTAGACATATCAGAGCTGAAATAAAATCCAGAGCCAAGTACCTTTAAAAAAATGTACCCATCTCCATATTGGCTTTATTCTTTCTAAATTTTAACAGCTTAGAGGTGCCAAGATGCTATATGGTAGAGGTCTGCATTCAAGACAAGATGGATCTAGAAAGAAATTGATGTTTATCTGTATTGTTTTCATTTAGGGTATGTTTGTGTTGTCTATCCCATTTTTAAAAATCTCCTACGTGCAATGCTCAGTGAGCAGGAATGTTCTTTTCTTGTGTTGTACTTTTTAGTGCTGGAGCTGCATTTGTGGGAAGGTAACACATACTTAATGGATTGGTGCACATAAGGACAGAACTAATAAAGATATTTTTCTCTTTGCTATATTTCCCATCCATGTAGAATTCTGATTTAATGAAGGAAATTATGCAATATTTCACAATTCTAAATGTTCTTTTTAAAAAAATACCTGTACTGCCTTACATTTTCCACCAAATGAGACAATTCGTCATGTTTTTACTCTACCTGCACTAATACGTAATAATAATAATTGCATGTTGTCAAGTCAGTTCTGATATATGTAGCCCTATCCAAGGTTTTCTAGGTAGAGAAAACACATAAGTGGTTTGCCATTCCCTTCTTCTGGGTGCACCTTGAAACTGTGCAGCTTGCCAAAGGTTCTACTACTACTACTACTACTACTACTACTACTACTACTACTACTACTACTACTACTACTACTAATAATAATAATAATAATA